TTTTCGCTATAAACTCTTGCAAACTTTGTTAAATCTAGGTACGCTTGATATTACCAGACCACCAAATGAAAAGATCGCGATCACGATCAAATCGAACTGTCTTCAAATAATAATCGATTTGAAATAATTATGATTTCGTGCGAACTATGTGTAAAGATAATAATGAAACGTGAAAGTAGATTAAGAAAAAAATTTTTCGGCTAAAGTCTGATATCAAGTTTTAGAATACTTAGATCACAAACAACAAATTATGAAATCAAACCGAAACAAAAGAGTAACAGGCGTATCAAGTGCGCGGCTTTAACAAAAACCAAGTGACCACAACAACTCAAATCTTGTGTTATTGTATCAAATGTGAAAGTGCATTAATTCACTAATCATTCAATCACGGCGGCGATGCGCGCTGTAAACCGGTCGCGACATGTTTGCAATTGCGGGACGATATCCGGCGGCCGAATATCCGGCTATCCGGTCTAGATGCTCGCCGAGTATCCGGTATCTGGCCAAATCACTATCCGTTTCGTCTATAGTAATGACCCTATTTAAATTTGAAGAAAATACTACACCTCTATATGGGTTGGAAATTATGAGATGAATCCAGTTTATTGAATTTTACTAACTTTCCATTGACTGATTTCAATAAAACTTGACACTGACTTTTGGAATTACCAACGATAACAAAATCTGGAAACACCACCGTCACAAAGATAGTGTAAGATGAGATTGCACGATTTAATTCCGCCTTCGCCTTTCCATCATCGGGGTACTTGACGTAGGCTGAGGTTCCACCACTAATGTAGTGGTAACTAACTTAACGGCTCTTTTATGGGGTACTTTATACATTTTTACAATAAGTTTCCGGAGCATAAATTAAGATTATAATTTTCCTAAGTTGAAAAACTACATTAAAAATATTTTGATTGAAAAGTCATGTTACAAAATTGAAAACTACCAGTTAGATAAAGATGTATGGAAAGACGACATGGCTCTAGATTCCACACAATTTTGATTCAAATTGTATTCCATGGCATTTACCTACGTTTATTTGAAAAGAGCAATACCTAGAGTTTCTTACTCGTTCTTCTGAGGGAAGTCAACGTAGTGAACGAGTAGTAGCTTAGATGTGACGTTTTCGAGTGTAAATTTATTTTATCTTTAGAATAAACGATTCTTTGACTTTTCACTTTTAAGGGATATTCCGAAGATTCGAACGAATTTAAGGCCAATTATTATGGAGTGGAATTCCGTGCTTGAAGACTTAAAAAAAACTTGAACCTTTTCTAAGAAACACTAGGTATTATTTAGGCTTCATCGTCCCACGTTTTCCATCAAGTAAGAGTGAGGTCAAATGCGCACTGATTTTTTATACAAAAAAAATTTGGAATAATAAATGTTCTGACTACAGTGACAAGCTACAAGTAACACTTGTGCTCCAATTTCCAGAAACAAGTTTCCATCTTCGCTTCGATTACGAAAGTGTTACCAAACAGTATCATCAATCATGTTTAAATAATCTGATTATATTCAAACATGCAATGTTTTGAGAACACTGACTGTCATAGTTGAATTGCAACAATTTCATCTGAACTTAAATTAAATTCGACACCATAGTACAGAATATTTTTTTATATAATATCAAGTGATGGAACCAACAAGTCGTGCGCCTGATGGTAAGCGACACGCCTATAAAAATTGCAGAGCTTTAAATTGCAAAGATCGAAGGAGCACTGCCACTGCGCCAGTCACCCTGAGACATAAGTTGATAAGTCCCATGTGCCTGTAATTTCACCAGCACCCATCTAAACCGGAGCGCAGTAATGCTAACATTACTGCTTGACGAAAAAACTGATACCGTGGCAATACTTCCCTAGACGAACTCTATCACAAGGATCTCGACTGGTGCTTAAATATATTATATTCAGCATCGATTAAAGTAAACTACTTACAAAATTGTAATTACAATAGATACCATTGCGTAACTTATTCATTTAAGTTAGATGTGAGAGTTTTAGCAAATAAATTCAAAAGAACTCTACCACAATAATTGAAAAAATGAAAATTTTTCTGAAAATATAGCTATCATTATAATACATTCACTGTCTTTATAAGACTATGTTTTAGATATTTCAAGGATTCGCACAAAGCGCTTCGCTTCCACATTTTATGTGGCGAACGGCTATGGAGTGGAATAAATAAATAAATAAATAACGCACACACTCATAGCCCCGCACTAGAAAAACCCTGTGTTGCGAGTGCCTTGGACACACACATAGAACACCACAAATCACACCCAAACTCACGAGAGAGAAAAAAAAAAGTTTGCGAACTTCTTGTAAGAATAAAAGACTTCTTAAACAGGTAACACTGCAAATAGAGGATCAAAAATAACTACTACAAAACACATGAAAAAGTACTGAAAAGGGCAGTTAATAAATCAAAGAAATTAAACAATGTAAATGCAAATAGTAAATGAACAAAGCAAAAAACGTATTAAATATAAACAAAACATTACACTAAATATAGACAACAAAAAATAAACGACTCTTGTAACATTGCATGTGCTTTTAACAATGTCTTCTCCTTTATTGGCAAATCTGCAAACAGGGACGATAAAAACAAACAGTCTCATACATTGCCTAACCCTATAGAACACACCATTTATCTATCGCCAACAGATATGTAGGAGGTATACAACATTATAAAAAAACCTTCAAAATAAAACAAGCTGCGGAATCGATGAACTACCTCCCAAAATATTTAGAAAATGTGACCAATTACTTACTTATTGAGGGTATTTTCCCTGATGCCTTAAAATTACAATTGTGAAACCAATTTACAAATTTACAATTAAACATTGCCGGTTGCATTGTTACCTACATCCGCCAAAATATTTAAAAGTGTTATATCGAAAAAAATATATTCATATAGTGTAAATATAATATTTCTATCATAGCCTTTTGGCTATCATGAAAATATTATATAAAATATAAATATTATTTGGTTTTCGCAAAAAACGTTCAACGGACCTAGCAGTTTACAAATTCATCCAGAGTATCCTTGATTTCATAAACAGTGAAAAATATGCGATAGGACTTTTATTAGACAAGAGTAAAGCCTACGATAGTATTTCGTACATCACTTTAATAGAAACACTATGATATCGGCATAAGAGACATTACACATGGCTGGTTGAAGTCATATTTACAAAATAGGGAACAATATGTTGAAATCGAACACGTTAAACCGGGAAAACCCAAAAAGTCAGGTCAAACAAAGTTAAAAATGAATACAAATCACACATACCTTCGTCAAAACTACATATATTTATATCTGGCACGCATTACATGGTAATAAAGATTTATAATAAAATACCGAACCAAATTAAACGTTTAGATAAAATTAAGATATTTAATGAAGAACTAAAAATCTTCTAAGAAATGAAACTATTTTTCCGGATTTAAATCGCGTATATTTGTTTTTTCAAACAAACCGACGTTTCGGGCCCTTTACAGGTCCCATGGTCACGGTTGACTTTTTT